ATTCGAGGATTGATGGGATCATCCCACGGGTAATAAAAAATCATTTTTATTTTGTTATTACACACAGTAGAAAAGGGTAAAATATAGATTGCAGTATTGGATCAACATATAAATTTTTACCATTAAATATTTATCGATAATTTTTGCTATTATTTTATTTTAATGACTTTTCAGTCTTTGATCTTTTATTATTGAAAAATGTTTTATTTATTTTAAACTTTTATGATATCTAATAAAACTCTTGGCTTATACCAACAGTTGAGATATTTATTCAATTAATTAAATTAAGAGTTTATATAAATAGTAGTAGAATAATCTGAGTGTGGTCAGACAAATACTCAACACTCGTGTTGATGATATTTTATACTCTCTTTACTCATTGTCATTATTATTATTATTATTATTATTATTATTATTATTATTACTTTGCTTTCTCTCAATTTTATCAACATTTATGTATTTATACAATTATTAACTTGAATAAAACTTATTAAACGGATTAAAATACAAACGGGATGTAATTTTATTAAATTAACAAAACAAGTCAATTATTTTTTAAATATTTGAATCAGCATTTTTAAAAAGTAATATTCTTTAACAAAATTCAATAGAGTACTTGATCTATAAGAATAATTTAACGGATTACATGCTACAGATATAAGTAAACTTATTAGAGGCACAAGGTGATGAACTGATGAGTAGATTAAACACTAAATGAACCGATTGTCAGCTCTGACATCCAACTTTACAGTAATAACGATGATAATAATAATAATTTCATGTATACACTCAAAGTTAATTAAATGAATTATTAAGTTTTTTTTTTTTTTTTTTTCAAATAATAATATATACGGAAATGAATAAATATTTAATATAATGTTTGATTATTGAGTTTTATGTAAATAAATAAAAATCTTGTTGAGTTATTGAGAGTTTAGATATTGTCTCTTGAGTATTGTATATCGGTGTTGTATATTACATACAAAAGTACATACGGTATAGTGATATAGGTTCATAGGGGTTTAACAGCATTACGACGTTATGTCGATATCAAAAGTACTTTATTATATCTATATATATATATATATATATTTATATAAAGAAATTGAATGCCGTCGAGTAAGTACGTATTGATGATATAGAAATAGAAAAGCAAGCACAATCATTTTCTGTGATAACTTTTCATTATTATTATTATTATTATTATTATTATTTGCATCATCATGTTAAAATATATTCCAACATGATACTATTTTTATTTATATTATCGGGTAATTTAGTTTAGTTTTTATCAGGGTAATACTATAAGACGTCTCTGCTTGCTGACTGAAAAAAAAGATTCAACTTTTAATAATAATTTTATGAAAATTAATCCTAAATATTATTGACATTAGAATAAATTTAAAAAATATATATGTAAATTAATGAGATCTATAAATATAAGTATTTTAGATACTTATTTTAAAAATATATTAAAAATGTTAAACAAGTTGATCGTGCATCGGAATGGAAGACAGATTGATGGAGGCTGAAAAAAAACTTGTTTGACATTTTAATTTAACAGCGAGTAAACGTAGTGTATGTAAAACCAAGTGTGAATGCAAATTTCTTTTTGTCCATATTTTTTTTCTTTTGTTTTTTTCAACATTTTTTTTATATACTAAGGCACATTACACGCGTCTCACTTGGGCGACTACCGACCCGTGAAAATGAATTAAATGTCCAGACGAATAATTTCTCCCTTTTTATTTTTAAATGCTACGTAACTCTGACACACGGATAAAACTTTCTGAGGTAATGGTTACTGTTGCCGATGTTGCCTGGTCTATTTTTAACATAAACTTTGATTGTACTTATTCAGATCTATTATTTTTACCTGTCTAAATTAAAGAGTTAAAATTCTTTAATCTACTGTGTTGGGATTCCATTTATTTCAATTCATATTAAAATCATTTAAAAATAAAATATTTTATCAAAGTATATTTTATATTAGCTCTTTTGTGGATCGTTTGGACCGCGCAGATAAGCGTAATTGCACCGCCAGTACAGAGAAGTTAAGGCGAAAATACTAAAAGACGAAAGAATATATCCATCCCTGTGTGTTAGCAATCGCCGATCACAATTCTGTAAATCTTGTGGAAATAATGAACGATGCGACTGGCTATTTTGATCGTTAAAATAAAATTTCCGAACCATTATACTTTTCTTTGGGACTTTTGTAAATTCTCCTGGACTATAAGTTTTTTAAATCGAAAATATTGTCAACCTATCATTTAGATTTATAGTTTTCATAAATTTTATTTTTTATTGTCCATTTTTTTTATGTTTATGTCAAGTATTAATTTTTACCAACTCCTATTTTTTATATTCCTACAAAGTTATAAAACTAAAAAGGTGGAAGTATATTATTATCGACGTGTAATATGAAGCGACCGGCAACATTCCAAGTTTGTTAGATAATAAATACAAATGATTCTATGTAAACTAGATCATCTGTACAATTTTACAGTTGTTCACATGACCAACTGAACAAATAAAATTCCCTATTTTTGAAAAATAGTACAACGTACAACTAATAATATGTTTAATATTTGATTTCAATTCCAAAAGTATAAATGAAAAAATCAACATTACTATAAATGAAAAAAAATTTATAAATTTACTAGTTAATAAAAAATATCATTTGAATAAATGATTAATAATAAAATTGTATAAAAAAATAAATGATACATTCACTTAATGAATTTACCCTGGTTATTAAAAATACTGATTGAAAAGAATTGAAAAGCGGTCACTCTATGCAAATTGTATATCTATATCTATATAAACAAAAGAATTGAAATTATTGAAAAGAATTCGAATTTCATCATTTTTAATTTTTTTCAATCAATATTTTTAAACAGGGTATATGTATTATGTATTAAAAAAGATAGATCCGGATAATATAAAAAAACTATTATAGATATTTGAACAAAAAAAATTGCGAATAAATAATCGTAATAAATAAATAAATGAAGAAATGATTTTATGAATAAACGACATTATTATCATTAACATTTTTAAGGTTGTGTATTAATAAACATTTTTATAAACATGATGATCGGTACAAATATGAAAGTTGTCCGAATGGATATTTGAATAAATGAAATTCTATCCAAATAAATCAATAAAAATGAACATCTGCATTAAATGTCCAGAAGTTACTGTCAAAATAATGAATATCGGTTAAAAAAAAAAAATTTCCACGAAATCTCTTATAATTTTATAAGCATTTTGCAATCTATTAAGAACGAACTTTATAACATTTCATTCTCTAAGGGCTGTACGTGAATGTAAAAAATTAAGAAAATTTAAAACTTTAGGTTTAAAACGGATTTTATTCAGAGAGCTGAAAAACATTATAAATGGAATTTTAAGCGCTTGGGTATGGAATTAACGGGAAGTTGCAGGGATAGCCTTTAGGATTAGGGTCAACCGTTTTCCTAATTTTTTTAAATAAAATATTTAACGCGCTCGCATGCTCGCACTGTCCTCAGTGAGTAAAATTTCTACTTATAAAATCCGTTTTAAACCTATAAAAGTTATACATTAAAAGTTTTAAGCTTTCTTAATTTTTAACATCCACGTACAGCCCTCTGAGGGTAAAATGTTATAAAATTCGTTCTTAATAGATTGCAACATGCTTATAGAATTATAACAAATTTCATGATAATCTTCTTTTTAACCGATATTCATTTTGACAGTTTAACTTCTAGACAAATATTCATTTTGACAGTTTAACTTCTGGAAAAATATTCATTTTTATTGATTTATTTGGATAGCTTGAATTTCATTTATTCAAATATCCATTCAGACAATTAACTTTCATTTGTACCGATCATCATGTTTATATAAATGTTTATTTATACACAACCGTAAAAATACTAATGATCATAATGTCGTTTATTCATAAAATCATTTCTTCATTTATTTATTTATTTATTACGATTATTTATTCGCAATTTTTTTTGTTCAAATAACTATAATAGTTTTTTTTTTAAATTATCCGGATCTATCTTTTTTAATACATAAGTTCATTAAGTGAATGTATCATTTATTTATTTTTTTTATACACTTGTATTATTAATTATTTATTTATTCAAATGATATTTTTTATTAACTAGTAAATTTATAAATTTTTTTTCATTTATAGTAATGTTGATTTTTTCATTTATACTTTTGGAATTGAAATCAAATATTAAACATATTATTAGTTGTACGTTGTACTATTTTTCAAAAATAGGGAATTTTATTTGTTCAGTTGGTCATGTGAACAACTGTAAAATTGTACAGATGATCTAGTTTACATAGAATCATTTGTATTTATTATCTAACAATTATATATAAATTTTTCTGTGCTTTTATTCATTTATATTCATCAGCATTTTTAAAAACTTTTATATTTATTTGGACAAATTTTCATAAATCCAAACTTTCATCGATACCAAAGTAATACGAGCAGGCATAAATTATTGTCTCTTATTGTACAGATGATGCAGAACTTTTAATTATACGGAGAAACGAAAAAGGTGAATAAATTGTAAATAATTGAAAGAGAATGTAATTTGAAGGGGAGAATAATCAAGTGCTAGGGAGACAAATAATTAAGAAAAACAGAAAAGAAAAAAATAGCACCGCAAACAAAAGGAATAAAAAGGGTAGTGTGAGAATAAGGTGGTACGTGGTATGCGCGTAGATGAGATTTCCGGTAATTGGAAAGCGTGGCTAGATATATCTACATATATTCAGTAGCTCCCTTGGGAATTATCACGACAAATTAAGCCATCGTGTACGCCGGTGTTAATAAACTTTATATATATATATATATATATATAGATAGATAGGGTCACCAATATATATATATATATATACGAATATCACTGCGGTAGAAGATAATTCAATTGTACATCCAAACGTATTAACACGTGTACATGTCTATAGATCGATTTATAATTTATATTTATATTTCAGGGAACTTTGGTTCAAAGAATATATTCATTTATCAAGACAAAATGTTTCTTATGAACTTACTTACGGTAACAACGCTTATAACTCTGTCAAAATCAAGACCCTTGTCATATTATTTAACCCACCAAAGAAGAGATGCTCCTACTGATGGAGCAGGAGGAGGAGATTATGATGATGGAGTATTCGTACCGTACATTATCGACGAAAAAGGATTCTCTGCCAACGAATTTTACTGGCCACAGGTAAATTATTATTATAAAAATACTTTTATTTTTTTTTTTTTTTTTTTTTAAAATAATTTACTGTTTTTTTGTGTTAATTATGGTTCTCATGATATTATTATATTTTATGATTATGATAAATGTCATGTCAAAAACAAAAAACATAAAGATATATATATATTATCTAATGCATACTTTTATTTTTTTTTCTATACCTGTTAATGAAAATGGTATATAATAATTTATAGAGGAAAATGAATTTAATTATTAAATTATGAGCACTATAAGCAATAATAAATGAAATTATTTTTATTACTTTTCTTGATAGTTAAAAGTTATTATGTATTATATTTAATTACAGGATGAAAATTTAAAAGTAAATGATTCAGTATCTGGTATCGATCGGGGTAAAAGAATTCATTCTCTCTCGGTAACAAATTCGCTGGACGTACTTCGAGACCGTGTTTTATTGGAGCTGGCACGCAGAAAAGCTCAGCAGGAAAAAATTCAGATAGACGCAAATCGTCATTATTTGGATAATATTGGTAAACGCTCCAATCAATATATTAAAATGGATTTGCCCCAAATATTTGAACCTAAAAACATTAAAATACCTCAAATATTTGATCATCAATTGATTGGAGATCAATCGGAGTTTAACAACTATTACATGGCTAAAAATCCCCTTCCTCTTGACTCTACTCTTACTCTTGATTGGTACAACAATCTAAATGATGTCAGTCAGTACAATCTAAATGACCAGATACGAAAGGTAGTTACTTACTTTTATAGTATCATATTATCATACTCACTTTGTTTACTTTCTTTTTTTTCTCCTTTGTTACAGATTAAAAAGAACAACAAAATTCGTTTATTGTAACGTAAGTGAATCAAAGTTGGACACCGAGTACAATTTTATCCCTCCGCTTGTAATTAATTGTCCATCCTATATTATATATTTAAATTAAAAAGCATTACAAATTTATTATTTTTTCCTAGTGATATATATCTTATTGTCATCTTTTGAAAAAAAAAAAAAAAAAAAAAAAAAAAAAAAAAAACCGCTATATCAATTTCATTATTAAATATATAACAAGTATCAGGAGATCGTTATACTTGTTGTTAAAGAAATATGATAATAATATATGTATAACAATAAACAGAAAAATAATAATAATTTTTCTTTCCGACAACTCACGCAAATAGAATTATTTATCATTTAAAAGTGTACATTAATTGATTGATATGATAAACTTTTAATCATCTCTGAAATTATAAAAAAAAAAATAATCAAACCATACGAAACAGTATTATTATGTGATTTTATTTTCTTAAAAATACTTAATTTATTTACCATGAGCAGTAATATAAAACTCTATTTTTTTTTAATTTTTGTTTCGAGTCTTACAATCTTATTTAACAACTAAAAAGGTTTGATAAAATTAAAAAATTTTTTTAGTTGTTAGAGGCGTTGAAATTGACAAGTTTATATTAATTCACCGTTGCATTATTTATTTATTTATTGTAAAAAAAGAAATAAATATATAAGAATACAAAAGCTTTCAATCATATACGTAAATTGATGTTAGTACTAGATAGACAGAAAAATAACAATTCTACTTGTACCCCTTCCTTGTATACTTAGATTTTAGATGAATTATACATATTATATGGTATTATATTTATTTTAGTTATTTTAAAATTATTATATGTTTGTAATAAATATTGATGCTTTATTTTAATAACATAAAAAATTAAATATACCAATCTGAAACTAATATTATTTTATCAATATTGAACAGTTATTACTTATGTTACAAATATATTTGTTTAAGGGGTAGAAAATGAAATTAAAAAATTTTAATCTTTAGAAAAAGTTTATTAACCTTCATACCTATATATATATATTTATTATATTAATTATAAATTATAACCTAATACACAATTATTACTCATTAAGTTATTTAATAATACCTGTCCTGATATTTCAATTTTTTATAAAAAAAGAACAACATAATTATTTTTCAAGTATTTTTTTTTTTTTTTTTTTTTTTTCCACTTAAATTTATTAATCATACGGCAATATTTTCAGTAATAATTTAGAATATACAAATAATTGATAGATATAGTAGCAAGTCGTGTGTATACATAAAGATTTCAAAAATCATTTATTTTAAAACTAGTAAAATACAATAGTAAAGCTTTTTAATAACATGCATCTTTAATTACTTGAATAAAAAAAAAAATAATAATAATTTTTTTTGATAATCGTCATCTCACTTGAATGGAATTTAAATGAAACTTGTTAATAAATGATAATGAATAAAAATAATTATTGTTATTTATATTAAATCATTGTTTACGTAAATCAAGGACAAAAACGCTTCCATCAGAAGCTGAAGCGCCAACTTTATCACCTCGGCTATTCCAACACACTTCAAAAATACCACCTGTACCTTTATAGCTGTGCACCAATTGACCAGTCTAAAAATAAATTATTAATAATTAATTTTTCAAGTACTTGTATTAATAATAATAATAATAATAATAATGTACCTGGGTAGACCACACGTGAACACATTTGTCAAAGCTACCACTTGCAAGAAATTTACCATCAGGACTAAATGCTACACTGTACACGGGTTCTGTATGCTTGGTTAGAGTATGAAAACATACTCCTCTTTCAATATCCCACAATCTTACAGTTGAATCGAACGAAGCACTGGCTAAAGTAAGATTCATATTTGGATTGTGTGTTCCTGGTCCTGTAGGTGACCATTTTATTGTGTAAATTTCTTTATGATGAGCCCTAAGATCGTGAACCCAGGTGTCTTGCTTCATTGACCAAATTTTAAGACTCATATCATCTGAACAACTTGCCAATAAGTTACCTTGAGGATCCCATTTTATAGCATTTACTTCGTTCTAAAAATAATTAAAAAAAATAAATAAACTGAATAAAATAATAATAATAATAATAATAATAATATTTAACTTACCGTATGACCTTGAAAACTTTTAATAGGCTTATCAACGTTTAATTTACAAACGTGAATGCACTGATCAGTAGAACAACTGGCAAATGATGTATTTGTCTGCCAATCAACATCCAAAGCTGGAGCCAAGTGAAAACTAAATTGCTGTGTACACTGTCCGCTAGCAGCATCCCAAATAATTGTTGTTTTATCTACTCCCGCGCTCAATATATAATTTCCACGTTTATTCCATTTTAATGCAAATATAGGGCCCTTGTGTTGGCCAAGAGTCGATGATAATCTTCCATCGGTAGTCCAAATTCTAGCATAACCGTCGTAACTACCAGTTGCCAAAAGTGTTCCATCACACTGTTTAAGTAGAATAATAATAATAATAATAATTAATATATACTTATATAAATGTCTGATAATAACTTACATTCCAATCTAAAGATGTAACATCCTTATTACTTGGTACTTCAGCACCACCTCTTTGAATGCAGTGCCGTAATACAAGTTGTTGAGGAGTTGATGAATTATCAGACATATCCCAAATTCTAGCTGTACTATCACCAGAACCAGAAGCCAATAAGTCTGTTGTTGGATTCCACGCACAGATAAATACTTCAGACTCATGACCACGTAATTTTGTCGCTTTATTAGCTGGTATTTCAATAGCACTTGCATTACTACCAACTCCAACACCACCGGTCTGTTGTTCTTCTGATTCCATTTCAGTTTTATCTCCACTTCGTTCATTTGAAGTAACAACTGTTACGATTTGTTACATTTTATTATTATTATTATTAAAATTTACTTATATAAAAAATATGTTAGCTCCAAAAAAATGAATTGTTTTATGAGGATTTAGAATTTCACTTCACTAATATTATTATTATTGTAAATATTAGACAAGAAAAAAAAATTAAGTTAATAATTAAATAATAGCAATAATAATTGTAGTGGGAAATCCTAAAATTCAAACAACTCACAATAGATTTAAAGCTATTAGTATTCCTGGAGTATAAATGGAGGTACAAATTAATGATATTGTTTTTGTAATTTGAACCAGGGTGTACCAGGATTAATAAGTATATAAATAATTAAATATTTTACTAATAAATAAATTACCCTCTTCTCCATTAGTATCTTGTGTATCGGTTTTAATTTGCTGTTTTTGTTGATTTTGTTGATTTTGTCTGGATACTACGACATCAGGCATTACTGCATCAATAAGAGAAAGAGATTCAATCATTCTCTGTTCAGTACCATCTTCTCCGATAGATATTTCAGCCTCAGTGTATTGTAATCCTTTTTGAAGTATTGATAATAAAGCGGCAGGTGGAACAAGAGCTCCATTTATATTGCTCTGTGATATATGAGATTCTATTCCAAATGTGTATGCCGAATGTTGAAAACCTAATAATAAATAAATAATAAAATTATTAAAATATAATTATTAAAGGTTATGTTTAGTAATCGAATAACTTACCAGACTCTTGTAGATATCGGTAAACCAAAAAATTAACTTCATCACTGGAGAAGCTCATTTTTCTTAACATTTATACAATTATAATAACATACTTATTATTAACAAAACAATTATATTATTTTTGTTGTTATTGTTGTATATAATCAACTAAAAATATATTATAGACGCCGCCAAATGTATAAAATGTTATATAGAGTTTACAGCCAATATAAAGCCAAAACTTGCCGCTCTTGTAGACATAAGCAGCAGAGTCAGCAAGACCCCCGCAACAAGACAAACAGGCACATATATTTATTACACTATTAAACTATCAATTTATTAAACACTCTCCGAGATGATTTTCCGTTAATTCCGAGATCTTTTATTTTATCATCAACTAGTTTAAATATAGAGTAACCGTAATCAACATCAGTTAACAAGAAGCATCGACTTGTAGGAATAATAAAGAATAATATAAATTCGCGACACCTCGACACCTCGACACCCACATGGAAATATTGGAAATATATGGTGGAAAATTTACTTTACACAGTCGATAAGTATGTCAAGTGTATCAAAAATTATATTTATAAAAAAATTTTTAACTACAATAACAATTTATTAAGTTAAAAGTAAGAATCCATCTCCCTGTATTGTTGTTTATTTGTTAAAAAAATTTTAAGCCATATTTATTTTATCTGCATTGTTATAAAATATTATTAATTAATTGTAAATGATTTATTAGGAATATAAGAGTAGTGACATCTAACAGACTATTGTATAACTATTCAACAATAATAACAATAATATCAATATTTTTTCGTAATATTATTTTTTACATAAACAACATAACAGGTTCAAATTAATAAACAAGTTGACAAGTGATAGGAGGGAATGAATATTTGTCGAAATTTATTACAAGGTGTTGTTAAACGACCACCGGCTGTAATTAATAATAATATTCGTAACTTTACTGTTTCTCAAATAGGTAATATTTACGTGTAACATTTTATCTTTTTTTTTTCCATATTCTTTCCTTAAAAATAATATACTAATTGTTTGTTTATTTTTCATTATTCCATTATTGATCAAAATTTATATTTTTGTTAATTTTTAGACAACAAATGTCAAATAAAATAAGATAAATATTACCAAGAGGGGTTTTTTTTTTTTTTTATTTTATTTTATTTTATTTACATTTTAATGTATTTAATGATTACGCCATATTGAATATTATTTATCGATTGCACGAAATAATTCATTACGTAGGTTTCTTATATATTACGAAATTTTTAATAATCCATCTAGATATATTTATTTCAAGTAGATTGTTCAATATTGTTCAATAGTTATTAAATTTCATCATATTATGGAAAATATTAAACAATAGTATATATATATATATATATATAATTTGGAGTTTATTATTAGTAGAAAAATAAAAAATATAATATGGTATAGGACTAAAAAAAGTATGGAGGACATGAGACATATATAAATAATAGGTGATTCATAATATTAATATATTTGATAATGATAATATTTCATTGAAGATTTTTTAGTGTATAAGTAAGCAAGTAGTGGGGTGGTAAGAGCTTTGGGAAACTTTAAATAATATTTTATTTTAATGTTGACAGTCATTTAATAAAGACCGGTGCGTATCGACGCTCTCAACTTAATTATTTTTATTACAGTATTTAATAAAGAAACTAAAAATATGTCGGAAACAAATAAAGAGGAATTGAAAAAGCGATTAACTCCAATACAGTGGCATGTCACACAGGAGAAAGGCACTGAGAGGTAATTTCATTAATTATTCATCTAAATTTATAAATTTTTTTTTTTTTAAATTAATAGAGTGTTGCTCGACAGATAGATAAAGTGACAGAAATAACTTTTTCAAGAGCATGAATCTCGAATCAACGGGCCAAGTGCTCATGGCCAAGTGCTTCTAAAATAACATCTAAGCTTATTTTATACTTCCTTTATTATCTCTTACCATTTACAAATTTTAATATTTACACATATATATGTATAAAAATAATTATTAATGTTTATTTTTAGACCATTCACGGGATGCTACAATAAATTTTATGAAAAAGGAACGTACACATGCATCGTCTGTGATCAGGAATTATTTTCATCGGAAACAAAATATGACAGTGGGTGCGGCTGGCCAGCTTTCAATCAAGTATTGGATCAAGGAAAAATAAAGTTAACTAAAGATACTTCACATGGTAAGCTATTTATTTATTATTATTATTATTATTATTATTATTATTAACCAGCCAGTCCCGCAATCCTAATCATACTATGTTTATTTAAAAATCCTTATCTGTGTATCCCCCTCAATCCAATATTATCCTATTTTAGCTACATATATTTATAATCGCTTCGAAAATTTTATTTTTTTTATAAATTTTTTCTGCACGTCTAAAATTTAAGATTAGCTGAGAAAACAAAAAAAAATCTATGTATTATTTTTATTAAATCCTGCACGTTAAATGCTTAGAGTGTGATTGTAGTAGACTTACATCATGTTTATTATATACATTCATGTATAATAATAATGATGATAATTAATATTTTTAAATTGTATATAAACTTATTTTTTTTTTCTTATTCTAAAATTTTGTCTTGAGCTCTTTATATTATTTTTATTGATCTACAAAACCTAATAGCAGTAACAATTGCTGTAGCTGATTATTAATTTCATTACGTTTCTAATTTATGTTAAAATTTTAGTTAAAAAAACATTAAAAAAAAAAAAAAAAAAAAAAAAAAAAAACCTCGATGTAGGTCTCAATTTAATCACACTCTATTGTTCTGTCTTTCCTTTGCCTTCCCACCTATTCACCACCAAAATGAAAAAAAAAATACGTCGATATAACGACGCACCCCAGTTGGTGGCAATCTACTATTGCTGATCGCAAACCCAGATATGGTGCGGACCGAGGTGACCTGTTCAAAGTGTGGAGCTCATTTAGGCCATGTCTTCAACGACGGACCCAAGCCAACCAGAAAAAGATTCTGCATCAATTCTGCTTCTATAAGTTTCCACGAAGCCGGAGAAAAGAAATCTACAGAGGCCTAATTTCTCAACATTTACAATTCCACCATATTATTATTATTATTATTATTATTATTGTATTAAGTATATTCGCACTTGATATTTTTTTTCCCTTTGAAACAGTAATTTTCTTCCTCCTTTATAAAATAATAAAAATTTTTTATAAACTTTTTAATAATTATTAAATTTGAATGTCTCAGCAAGTGCAAATAAACTTGGAGAAAAAAAAAAAAAAAAAAAAAATCAATTGTATAAGTAACAGAGTTATTTTATTTTTTCATCGACAATTACGATGCCATAGCATGTAAATATTTATAAATAAATAAATAATTATTATTATAAGTATCATTGGATTTTTTTTTTTAATTAATTAACCAGGTATCAAATAAATATATATACATATGTATATATATATATATATATATATATATATATATACGAGTTTTTATTTTTTTTATAAAATGTTTTCTTATATTTTAACTTTAAAATAAAAAATAACATAAAAGTTACAGTATAATATATACCTATACGCAAACCACTAGGCATAACTTTATTTATTTTACAATAATTCATTGAACTTTTATTCACTTGTCATTTAAAAAAACAGTACTTATAAAATTGACTTCTTTAAAATTAGGTTGTTTTTTAAATTGTGTTTCATCATCACAATTAATGTTTTTGTCACTCCGCGACTTAATTATTATTCGACAATAATAAGAAATAACTTTCACTTTGTCAAATATATGAGACACCACCGGTGTAATTGTCACGTTATATAATTCTGTCACTAGGCCTGTCTTCATGTTAAATAATCTATTTATTTGCTAAGCATTTTCATAAACATCAAGATTTTACTTCTAAACACTAAAAGTATAAAAAAATAATTAAAAAAAGATTATTCTGAATGTATTTTAATAAAAATGATTGATGTTATTTAAAAATGTTTAAAGTTTAAATGCTCTAGATATTTCTGAAAATGCCAAGTCTCATAGATTTTTTCTTCGTTTACTTTACTGCGGCTTAATACTATATTAATAATAAAATAATAACATTTAGGAAAGTAAGTATGTATGGTATAAATTATTTTGTAAGATAAAAACAAAAGATCTGATGAAATAAGTTTGAAAATGTCAGTTGATTTTTACACAAATGTTGTAGAAAATTATGTGAGCAATAATTTTTAAATACTGTTCTTAATTAAATAAAATTTTAAAATATACACATACATATTTATATATTTATCTGATTTTTTTTTCAATATTGTTGTAATACTTGTATAGTAGTATTACCTTACACATTAAAAATAAAAAGTACGTTTAATTGAACATTAAATCTACTGTAATTTTTCAGATTATTCAGAATATATATATATGTATGTATTTTTTTTTTTCTTTATATCCATTTAATATAATGACACATGGTATATATAATGAAAAAGAAATAAATGATAAAAATTAAAATTAAAAAAAAAAAATGATGTAAATCAATATCATATATATATATACTAAAATTACCCATATTATTTTCATACAACGATTTTACATTTTCCAAAATATTGTCGACGTATAAAAAATTCGATTATATTTGAATTATTATAAATATTTCGGAGTCTCAAATAGAAATAATTAAAAAGTTAAAAAAAAAAAAAAAAAAAAAAAAAAAACCTGTATCCCCATAATATTTCCATATCTATTCCTCTAAAACACGACAAGACATACAGGCACTTTCAAGTGTCACATAATCTTTGACAATGTCCCCACCCAGCCTTGTCTTAAAAATTTCGTCATTCATTTATTTAATTTTTAATCGTTTGTGCTTTGACAGACGATTATTCAAAGGATATTATTATTATTAATATTTTATTAATGGCTAACAATTTACTGAGTCGAACGTATTTTAAATTAATCAAATTAACAGTATATTTAATAAGCAAACTAATTTTCATTTAAAATTTGTTAACTTATTTTGAAAACATCACCAATCAATAAATTGCTACTTATATAATATTTAGGTTTATTTTCTTTTTCTTTTAAATCATTACTCTTTATTTATTTACTTTTTTGTATAATATATAATTAAAAATTATTGATATTTATGTAGCTAATAAAAATTTTAAACTTATTTTACATCTGATTAAAAGCGATATGCCAATTAAACATTATTGATATTGATAAAGCAGCTTAAAATATTTTCCTTAAATATTTGTAAACTTTTTTTTTGTTTTGTTTTGTTTTGTTTTTTTTTTTTTATTTTTATTTTCTTATTTTGTTATTATAAAGATCAGAGAAATTTTAAGACCCTTTAAATAATATACTCGGGCTACTGTACAACACTATAGTGTTTTTAATAAAAAATAATAAATATGTTTTTTTTTTTGTTTTAAATCTTTCTTTTAATTATTTTTTTTTATTCTCAATTTCATTGTCAAAAATATATATAAGTCCAAGGTGAAGACAAATTTTGTTCTTGCTATATGATTCTCATTTAATATATACGATTAATTATAAACTTACGTTTTATCTTTTTTTTTTTTATTTATCTGTTCGCTTTAACTTATGGCTTTTAAATTTAATCTAACAAACTTTTAGCAGTGTAAATTTAAAATTTACTTATTATTTTAATCGCTAACTCATTATTAATTTGAGAATCAGTAATACTAGTTTAACATACATAGAAAATAACTGACATGATTGTGAAACAAGCCCTCGAAAGTAATAAAAATTCGTCATTTTCAATAACTTTAATATTATTTTTAATTTTATTTCAATAGTTGTTGCTGTTTAATTTTAAAATTCCGGAAGACGTTATAATTTATTACTCGCAAGCTCTTGTAAATATTTAATAAAACTTTTTAGTTGATTTTTATTAGATCAGATTCTCTACTAGTCAGGTTTACTAATACGGAATAAACTCACATATCACATGAGGATCAATCGTATTGTTACAGACTTAAATTCACTTAAATCTCGATACTGTTACGGTACCGAACTTGTAACTAACTATTTCCTAAAATTATGTTATTCATTATTATTATTATTATTATTATTAAATTGAATTATTGTGCCGTTACCGTTTTGGGAGGGTAAATTACTTTTTAATATATTTATAGTTATACATATATCGTAATAGAGGTGTTGTATTTTTGAACCTAGTGAGTTTTTGTTGCTTCTTTAGCAGCCATTATTAATGGTGTCAACGATGCCAATGGCCTCGCTAATTTTAAGAAAGGATGCTAAAAAATGATTTAATTATTATTATTATTATTATGATGATTAAAATAATTAAAGATATTTAAAAAAAAATACCTTTAATAATTCAGATGCTCCAGAACGTTTTTCCACTTCGACTTCGAGACATTGATCCAAAAAGTCTTGGAAAATACTTGATAATTTTTCTTTTTCTTTAATTTCAGGTTTTCCATTCGTTGCAATTAAATATAATGCTCGTAAAGGGTTTTCGTTTAAATACGGGGGTTCTCCTTCAATCATTTCTATTGCCATAATACCCAACGACCATATGTCAACCTTTTTAAAATTAAAATAATGTAATTTTATTTTATTTTTTATTTTAAAAATTTTATATCATACCTTTGGTCCATAGTGCTTTCGTGTAACGACTTCTGGTGCCATCCAATAAGGTGTTCCAACCATAGTTGTTCTTTTACTTTGTTCAGGTGATATTTGAGCGCAAAAACCAAAATCTGTAAGCTTAACACCACCATCCAATCCAAGTAATATATTATCAGATTTAATATCCCTGTGAATAACTTGATTACAGTGTAAAAATTCAAGAGCCTGTAAAACTTCTCTACAAACAGCAGCTATTTGCCCTTCATCCATACAAGTTTCAGTTACTACATCGGTTAAACTACCACCCGGTAAATATTCCATAACAACCCACAATTCTTCTCCAACAAGATAACTATCAAGATAATTAACAACATTTGGATGTTTATTTTCTCGCATTACTAAAATTTCATTTATTATTAATTCTTTTTTTGGCTGTTGTGAAAGATTCATCTGTTTTATTGCAACTTCCATTCCCGTAGACGTTTCTATTGCCGTATAAACAGTACCCGAGGCCCTATAAAATAATATATTTATTATTATTAATAATATTAATTATTATTTAATTAATTACCCTTGTCCAATTTTTTCCATTCTAGTATATTTTCGATTAGGATCACCAACACTGACAATTGTTCTTAATTTTTCTAATATCTCATCATCAGACATTTTTTTCTTTCTTGCTTTATCATTTTGACCAATCCTTGATTGATCGGTTGTCGCTGTAGTTGTTGTTGTTGTTGTTGTTGTTGTCGTCGTTGATGTTGGTGTCGCTTGATTTTTATTTTTATCAAGCTGTGATTGGTGTTGTGACTGTGGTGTACCATTTCGGTGAGGTGACCCCAATGACGGTATAGGCGGTGATAAAACTGGTTCTTCCTCAATTGGTTTAGTATACTATCAATCAATAAATTATAAATTAATAAATAAAAATAAAATAACAAACAACAGTGAATAATTAATATTACAATAGACTTGGTACGCTCCGGTCGTGTTGAGATTGGCGGAGGCGGTGGCTCATCTTCTTGTTCAGAACTAGTTGCACAAGCATCTGTAGGAGTACTACTAGGACTACTGCTACTAACTCTGCTGAGAGACTGTTGTGAGTGTGAACTACCAGATGCTTGAGACATTGCTTGCCCACGGACATTTCCAATACCAATATTTATTCCAGTTCCCATACTGCGGGGGCTACTAGCTCTTTCAATAGGCACTGAACAAAATATTTATTATTTTATTTAATAGTACTTTTAGTAGTATATAAAGGTATTTTCTAATTTAATTCATTTTAAATAGAACATACCGGCATTTCCAACCATTTTAGTGGTTGTCATATACTTTGAGCCTTTAACTTCCTTACTGCTGTTGTCATACCAATTTAAAACATCCAATACTGCTTGAGGATTCTTCTTTTGTTCCTGCTTGCTGATGTTACTTGACATTAACAGTCTTGCCCATGCTTCCGGCATCCCCTAATAACATTTAATATCAACAATTATATTTTAATTATTATTTTCATTAGTTTTTTTTTTTTTTTTTTTTTTTTCTGGTATTATAAAAGTAAACAATTTCATTCATTTTATTACTCATGCTCCATTCATAAAACATTCATAATAATATAAATTAATAAATAAATAATTGAAAAACATAATTTATAGTTTAGAAATAAGTAAAAAAAAAAAAAAAAAAAAAAAAAATTAAATAAATTAATGCATTGATAGTTAAATTCTAGGTGAAATCAAGCGTCAATATATTTTTATTTATTTCTTTTATTATTTCTTGTTTCAATTTTTGTAAGCAACGTCGACTAAAGCTCTATATTATATTAATTAAGCAATTTAAACAAAATCTACTGGAATGTGTGTTAAAAAAAAAAAAATATTTATATGGTTCAATTGCAACAAAAATAGACTGGTGATAACGAAAGAAAAAAAGAACCATAATAGTAATAACAATAATAAAAAAAGAGGAAATAACGTTTAACGTTTTGTGATTGTTTAAATTTACTTACTTTTAATGGCAGCTTGAAAGAAATACGTGTTTGAGTTAGTTTAACATGTGAAAAAATAATAGATTTAAGAAGCACCAGATAAATTACTCAACAACAACAATAATAATAATAATATTATAATATTCATACATATGTATTTGTTGGAATTTAAAATATTTAGTACGGATACGGAAAATCCATTTTTCTACGGGGTTTTTAAGGTTTTTAATTGAATAATCGTAGTTCATTCCTCTAATAATAATAATAATAATAATAATAATAATAATAATAATACTAATATTAATAATAAATAATGATAAATGCAAAATTACATATGTAAAAATAAATTTAGATTGGATATTCCGTTTTTCCATACAAAACAGCAAAGCAGCAAGCGAATAGTGCATCATATATATTTATTAAAAAAATTAATGAGCGTGAGTATTAAACGTACCGTGAATTCACCGGTAACAGCGTCGAATCCAACATGAACAGTATGCTCGAAATTTGTTGGATAACTGATGTTTGGTTTATCCTTGCTCTCTTTAACCTTCATTTTTCCCTTTAATGTTTTCTTTTTACGTTCATCCGAATCTGGCTCTTTTGGTAGTGGTCGCATATCCACAGGTAAGTTTGGCGTTGATTCACTTCTGTTAATTATTTAAATAATAATTATTATTAAAATCAATCAATTTATTTTAAATTATCTAAATAAATCAACTATTCAATAAAATAATAACAGAGGTAACGACATAAATACCATAAATAACATATATTTTTTCTTTCTCTAATGGAACTAGGTATAGAGAGATTTTTTTAACGATATATATCCCTTAAAGTTAATATTAATAATCATCTATAGTGTCTTGTATATACACTGTAGAAGAATATTATTTTTAGCTGTCACTAAATTAGTGTCTGTTAATCTATTTCTGGAGGATGGAACTCGATTTCTTTCTTTCTTTCTTTCTTTCTTTCTCGTTCTTATTTTTCATAATCCTCTTTGCTTTGAATTATTAACAAAAATGGATTTAATATGATAGTTGATTTATTATTTTATTATTATTCAATATAAATAGATTAAATAAATTTACCTGTTGGAAGTAAGTCTAACAGGAGGTGCAGGTGGCTTATCTTCTTCATCTGACATACTGATTATTTTTTTTTTTTAGTTATTTCTTTTTTGTTTTTCAGTCTGTTTATTTTTAATTACTTTTATATATGTGTATATTATCCGTGAATTAGGCACAAGCTTCTTTAAGCTTAGATGGCTTTAAATACTGTTTTTTTTTTTTTTTTTTTTTTCTTTTTTAATTACTGGACGTTTTTATCATTTAAAAATAATTTTTATTATGAATGTGTGAGTTGTATGCTATCGGTTAATGTACATAATAAATTTAAAAAATAATAATAATAATTTTTGTTTAATTTAGAGGAGTTACTCACTGTAGAACCAGTGTCGATAGAATACCACTACTTCGTTATTGTAAGTAAATTATACAAGTTATCAGGTGGAATCACAATAATTATTGAGATCACAGTCAACTGGTTAAAAGGACAAGTGGTAAATGCACTTGTGTTTTTTTAACTTCTCTTCTATCTATTAATTTTAAGCTATTTAAGCCATAATAATCCATTAATATACAATGATAATTTGATTAATTAATTTAATGCTACCGGTATATTATATTTTTTTTTATTTAGTTTGGTAGAATCAATTGGATGACTTTTGTTCTTTTTAGTATAGTTGGCAAGAAATCTAAAATAACCAGCCAAGTTATTACTTTATTACTGTGATGTACTTGATTACTGTATATATATATATTTTAAAAAAATAATAAAAATCAGTAGACGGTGGTGTAAATAATAGGTCAATGTCGTTAGTCCACTGTATATTAAATTCAACCCTCTTTAGATTTAGGAGTTGTTTCTTTTAGTGTTAACGTATGATGACTCATCCACCGAATCACAGGATTCAATGGTCAATTAAATCCCTGTCCTCCACTCATAAAAAGTACAATAAAAACAACAACACCTATTTTCAATTAATTTTAAACAAATCAGTTTCAATTTGATGTAAAATAATGAGAAAAAAAAAAAAAAAAAAAAAAAAAAATAAAAAATAAAAAAAAGCTCGTGGTGTGATGCTGCTTCTCCTAAATGGTAATGTTACTACTGAAACTATTACTGGTCGACTGGTTAGTCTTTAGTCGTCTTAAACAGTCTTAAAAGTATAATATTGTAATATACACCAACCAATAACAATTTTATTTTTTGTTTAAATATTATATATATATATGTTTATATTTATATATAATATACACATGTAACTTGTACAAAATTCAATATAAATAAAACCACCTCTCAGTTATCAATATGACTTTTTCACTCCAATATACATAAATGTAGACGTAGATATTGATATATTATTTCACTGTAATATAAATTAAAAATATACGCGTTAGTTGTTTATTAAATTAAAATTTATAGCACACAACTATTGTTATCTTGTTAAATAAAATCGAAAATCGAAAATCGTGAATCGTGAATAAACGGATAAATGACGATGAATATATAGATAATCACCTGAATCACCGCCCGCCTGCGCCTTTAGAGTATCACCAGTTTTATATACCAGTCGTCACCAGTCTCACAGTCTCACTTTTCACTGTGGTACTTGCTGCTGATGCTGACCATCATTTCCATTCCCGTCACTATCTATCACCTTACAGCAACCATACACCCATAAAGACTTTTCCTACTAGTTTTTCCTTTTCTTTCTTATAATTTTATTCTCTCTTTTTGTTATTCTCTTTCAAGCGACTCCAGCGCCGTCTTTATATTTTTTCAATTCTTATTTTCCATATTTATTTATTTATTTTAATTCATTGTCAAGTAAAAAAAATGAAAAGTATTAACAATTTTAATTATTTATATTACATTAAAACATTCATAATAATTGTAGCAAAATAATTAATAAAAATTGTTAAAGAATATATAGAAAATATATATACCTATGTCTGTATCTTTTATCTGACTGATTTTTTTTTATTTTTAATTTTTGTTATTTAAAGTTTTCAGGCTGTTGCGTTGGCAAGCCTGCTACTATCGATAGACTCTGACAGGAGAGACACTTTTTGTCGATATATCGAATTGCACAATGTGGACAAATCGATTGTTAAAACGCACATTCACATTGTACACTGTACAGTGTACAGTGTACACACCAAGAGAATAAACTCTTTACTCAGTGCATTTTTTTTTTATCACTATTATCTTGGAATTTTTAAATAATTTTCTAATTAGTCATATATAAATAATATTATTTCAGTATGGTCGTTATTTAATATATATATATATATTTATTGATAACAATTTTGTTTAAATTACGACCAATTTATAGAATATAAAGTTTAGATTATAAAAAATTATAAAATATATAAATAGTTTGATTAGTTGATTAATTAACAATTGTCGATATAGATATATATGCACTGTCAATCGTATTAATAAAATATACATATACCTATCAAGCTGGTAATCGTCCATCACTAATTTTTAATAAAAACAATTTAAGCTTTTAATTTTGTCATTTGAAAATAAAAAAAAAAAATAATAATAATAATAATAATAAAAATGAAGAAAAAGGTATGTAAATAAAATTATTAAAATAATAGATACTTAACATTGTGATAATAAAATAAATTTTTTAGGTATTGTTGATGGGAAAAAGCGGATCTGGAAAAACGAGTATGCGGAGTATTATCTTTGCAAATTATATTGCCAGAGATACCAGACGATTAGGAGCAACAAGTAACAATATTTTATTTAATTATTATTATTATTATTATTATTATTATTATAAAAATAAATATAATGTTGATTATTATTATTATTATTATATTCGATAAATAGTTGATGTCGAACACAGTCATGTAAGATTCCTTGGAAATTTGGTATTAAATTTATGGGACTGTGGTGGTCAAGAAGCATTCATGGAAAACTATTTTGCCTCACAACGGGATAATATATTCAGAAATGTTGAAGTTTTGATTTATGTATTCGATGTAGAATCCCGTGAATTAGATAAAGATATGCATTATTATCAAAGTTGTTTGGAAGCAATACTACAAAATAGTCCAGATGCTAAAATATTTTGTCTTGTTCATAAAATGGATTTGGTTCAAGAGGATCAAAGAGATGTTATATTTAGAGAACGGGCTGAAGACTTGAAAAAACTTAGTCTCCCTCTTGATTGTACTTGTTTCAGAACAAGTATATGGGATGAAACTTTATACAGGTAATTTCATTATTTATTATTCATCATTTGTTATTGGTATTAAAAAAAATATATATATATATCTTACAAAGGGCATGGTCTTCCATTGTTTACATGCTGATTCCAAATGTTAAGGAATTGGAACAAAGTCTCGAACAATTTGCCAATATTATTGATGCCGATGAAGTTTTATTATTTGAAAGAGCAACTTTTCTTGTAATCAGTCATTGTCAAAGAAAATATCACAGAGATGTTCATCGTTTTGAAAAAGTTTCTAATATTATAAAACAGTTTAAATTGAGTTGTAGTAAATTAGCATCTCAATTTTTGAGTATGGAAGTAAGAAATACTAATTTTGCTGCTTTTATTGATGTATTTACTTCAAATACATACGTTATGGTAATAATGTCTGATCCAGCAATACGTAAGTACTTTTATAACTATTTTAATCTACAGAATATAATTCTATAAATAATAATAATTTATATTTTAGCTTCAGCAGCAACGCTTATCAATATTAGAAATGCTCGAAAGCATTTTGAAAAATTGGAACGCGTAAGTCAAAGTTCAGCGTTGAATGGATAAAATTTAGCTCGGTCCAAGCGTTTAATCGCTCGGACCCAAGTCTTTAACTGGCTTTAAAAATATAATAATTATTTGCAAACATGTGACAAATATTAATTAACAAGGATAAAATAACCATCGACTAGATGATAATTGTCAAAAAACTTGTGTATAAATAAAATTATTTTATAAAAAAAAATTAAAAAAAAAAAAAAAAAAAAAAAAAAAAACAAATTGAAATAATAAAATAAATTAGACTGGTTAAAGTGTCTATTTATAATAAACATACACTTTATTTTATTTAAATTTATTGATATTTTACTACACATTTGTCAATTCATTGTAAAATCAATAAATAATATTGTATCGTAATCTTTAATGTATTATATATTTGAATTTTGGTATAGAAAAATAAAGATTAACTACGGTACAATTAATAAATTGGTTTACCAATAGAAATAGTAACAAACAATAAAAATTAATAAAAAATAAATTTTTTTATTTTAAAAATAGAATTAAATATTAATTGTTGCTTTGAATTTCGCGCGATAAATACGTGAGGAATGTTGAATGCCCCTCGGTGTGAATGGCGTATTTCTTGTTATAATATTTTGTGCTTAATCACCAATTGTAAATATATGTCCATGTACTTATTTTTAAAAATTTATCATTGATGTTGAGATTAAAATAAAATGGATAGAATAATAAAAGGTATAATGAGATACAGACAGTGTCACAGAGAAGGAATGGTTAAACAATTTAAACAAGTTAAAGATCATCCCGAAGTGAGTTATTATAAAAAATTATCATTTATATTTTTTTTTTTTTTTTTTTGTTTTCTATTACATACTCTTTTACATTTCTGTCTACATGTTTATTGTGGCTATTTAAATATGGCCGCTTATTCATACACGTGCACGTCATTTGCTATTTTAATTATATTATAATATATATATTTTGCTTTATTGTTTTTGTTCACTTGTTTACTTGTTTTTCACTGTCATATTTTCAATATTTAAATTAATAGTTGATAATATTTTTAGCACTATAGATATTATACATTAATAATAAGCTTGTGATAAGATAAAAAAAAATAATAAAAAAAAAATTTTGTCGAGTCAATAATGAGTAATATAAAAAAGAAATTTATAATGATTATTATAAATTCGTTCTTTTCGACTGAAAGTTAAATAGGAAAATAAGAAAAAAGGAATAACAGTGTCAGCTGCTGCCATCTATAAGGCTCTTTAATTCAATAATTCAATAAAAATTTTTTAATTCAAATTAAAATATATAACAGAGACTTGTTGATTCGGGTTTATGGTAATTATTTATTATAATATATTTTTTTTTTTTTTTTTTGTTGTTCAAACAATAGCCAAAAGCAGTATTTTTTACTTGCATGGATTCACGGATGATTCCAACTAGATTCACTGAAACAAATGTTGGAGATATGTTTGTTGGTATGAGTTGTGTTTTTTTTCTAACCATCGACGATAATTAACTTTATTAGATTTTATAATCTATAGCTTAAATATAATTTTTAGTACGAAATGCTGGTAATGTTGTTCCACACTCGCAACATTTTGTTGATGAATTAACAATGTGTGAGCCGGCAGCTTTGGAGCTTGGATGTGTTGTCAATGATATACGTCATATTATTGTTTGTGGTCACAGTGATTGTAAAGCCATTAATTTATTGTACTCTCTTCAGGATGAGGAATTTGCTTCAAAAGTAATCTATTTCTATTTTTTTTTTTTTTTTTTATATAACTTAATTATTAAATTTAATAATAAATGAATAAATGTTAGGATAATAGAAGAATATCACCATTGAGAGCATGGTTGTGTGCTCACGCAAATAGTAGCCTAGAAAAATTTAAACAATTGAAAACAACTGGATTTCATCAACCTATGATTTTTCAAGCTGAAACTCCAATGAGAAAATTTGTCGCTTATATTGATCCAGAGGATAAATTTGCTGTTGAAGATAAACTTTCACAGGTAGTTTTTAATATTATTAATAACAATTAAATAAAATAAAATAATATCTATCACATGTATGAATTTTTTTTTTTTTTTTTTTTTTTTTTTACTTTAGATAAATACACTTCAGCAATTACAAAATATTGCGTCATATGGATTTTTGAAAAAACGTTTGGAACGGCATGATCTTCATATCCATGCACTTTGGTTTGATATTTATACTGGAGATATATACTATTTTAGTCGGGGTAATAAAAGATTCATTGAAATAAATGAAATAACTGAAAAACCCCTATTAAGAGAAATTGAAAAATATTATTCCTGATAAATATAATTACCAATAACTTATTGTAAACCTTCGATACATTCGATTATAAAAAATAATTAGTACAATTATTTTTCGACACATATATATTTATATATTTGTTCTGTTCACAAATTATATAAAAAATAAATTTATACATACAGGTGAGAGTATTGAGATATAATTTCAAAAAAAATATATACAAAGTGTGGCGTATGATGATGATAATTTATAATTAATGAATGTGTTGGTGTCGTTTTGCGTGTTAATGCTCGATTACGGGTATTGTTAATTAGTAGATCGTGAAAAATTGCACTTAAAAATGCGCAACAATTTAACGCATTGCTATACACACAATATTAATACATAAAGAAGATTTACAATGAATTCATACCTTGATAATGTTAATCTCTATGTATAATGTATATTTATATATACTTTTTAGGTGCCAGAACGGTGGTAGCAAGTGAACTAGAGCATGCCACTCCCGAAAGAGAAAGCAAAACAACAAAACTACTTATACTAATAATATATAAGCATAGCTAAGCCTGTCGCCTCTTTACTATTTAAACTCTAAAAGTATGTAATGTATCAATATATGGACACATATACCTATATATGCAGCTGATTCGTTCAAGAAACACGTTAAAAATAGTCATTATTATTATTATTATTATTATTATTATTATTATTATTATTATCATTATCGATGATCATTGCCACTAATTATTGTTGATACCTATTTCACGGTAAAAGTGAACATGTCTTACCAAACTCCCTATTATCATCATCGTAAAGATCCAGACACTGTCTATTAATATTATACATTATATTTTTAACTGGATAATTTATGCGCATGTTATTCATGCATTTAATTATTAATTAAATATATTATTTTTTAACTACAATATTAATTATTTTTTTTTATAATTTCAAACATCCGTGTTGAGATTGATTTATTTTAAATGTTCCTTTATTCTGTTAGATCTAATTGATTCATTATTTTGTATCGATAAAAAAAAAAAAAAAAAATCGAAAATGACATACTATCCTAAATCAGTAGACAAATTTAATATCATTTTAAAAATAGTATCCCAAAAACTAAAACTAAAAATAAAAAAAAAAAAAAAAAAAAAAATAAAAAAAACTAGGTTCCATGGTTCGTCAGTTTACTCACGAGAACGTAACGGTTAGGCTAAAACGTAAGAAAGTGCACGAGTTGTCACGGAACTTTCGCTTTGATAAACCAACTTTAGTATATATATATATATATATCTATATATATAGATAATAAAAATAAGAATAAGAATAATAATTTTATCCACCTCTGGTTGCTTATATGTATAGAAAACCGCAGCAGCAACAGAAGCAGCAGCACATTCTTTATACATCCTTTATCACTATCAGGATGCGCTCTATACAATAATTTCAAAAATATAAATAAATGGTATATATGTATAATATAAGGGGTAAAAAATATTAAACATAAATTTAGTACTTTCTTTTGCTGATACTTCCGGGTACTTATATTTAACATTTTGTTTTGTGTTTTTACCTTAAAAAATTGCATTATATTTTATACTGTTAAAAAAATTTAGGTAAAACCATAGCGTGTCCAAGTCATAAGACATTGCTACTAAAATAAACCGATGACCTACAATATATTATATTGTACATATGTACTAAGAAGAAAAAAAAAAAAAAAAAAGTGCCATTAATTTATTGACAATAATATAAAATACATATTTATATTTTACGTTAATACATAAAATACTTTAAGCCCGTGTACTGTCTAAATGATTTTATTGATTGTATATATATATATATATATATATATATATATTTGTTATATGAATGTCATTAAACAAGTTGTCATCAGTGCGGATCGATCTACTTTTTAGAGCAGGGTGATATTCTGTCTCTGTGATATTAATGACTCAAAGGCGTATCGAGGTCTTGTCAATATAATATTTTTAGAGAGATCATTGAGTTATTCAGTTTTATTTGTTGCTGTTTAATCTCAATAACAGAGAAATACTCTTAAAAAATTTTTAATATAAATATATAGATAATTACGACAAGTGCAATACACCACCAGTAGTTTAAAATAAAAAAAAAAAAATTAAAGTATATTTATGAGTCTTACTCACGTAGAAGGCAGGCGTAACAAAGTAGCAATACCCGTAGCATAGAGCACATCCAAAAGAGTAAAAGAGTAAACGAGTAAACGAGTAAAAGAGTAAAAGAGTAAAAGAGTAAAAGAGTAACAGAGAGTTTATGGTTGGACACACACCACTGGTTGTGCGGTTTTTTCTTTATCCAGGCAAGCTTTGTTCTGAAAAAATTTATATAAGTTTATGTATTTAATTAAAAAAAAAAAAAAAAATATAAATAAAATAATGTACTAATGCATGTATTAATGTATAAATTTTACTTGAAAATAATTAAATCAAGCTCATATAAATTACGTGCTACGAATTGAGGTTTAGGTATACATTTATATAGTAATGTATAGAAATGACACAAATTTTATTTCCAAATGTCGAACCCAAGTGGTAAATATATAATGATAATACAAAACCTCTCTCAAATGCCAGCATAGCAAAAATCAAGAACAAAAAACGAAGAATTAATACAGTCGGATTTATTTAATATTATATGTATTAAAATAAATTCAGAGTAAGTGCTATGGTACGTTGCCTCGACAACCAATCGTCATACATACATATATTGATGATGATGATGATAATAGTAGTAGTGAACGCGTTATTAATTCCAACGATAAGCAGTAGGCGCTGTATATATTAACAACTGAGACAAAAATGTCCAAAATTCTGTAGCCATTATCCCGTTATTCTAACGTTTTAACTGTATAATCATGCCGCGTACTACTACTACTACTACTACTACTATACTTTTACTAATAATAATAATGTCTAGCGATTCTGTCCTCGATAATATATAAATCAACCATTTGATCTCTTTTTCATCAGAATAATAAATATTTGTATATTCTATATAATCGGGAGTCAATGACTCTTATTAGCCAGGTCAGACGTTAATTTACTCATTATAGGAGAAATTAATATTGTGTGTTGTTGGTTGGGCAAGGATTTATTCACTGATCTGTCAAATGTCCTTCATTTTTTTAAATTTTACTGCAAATACAGTTTTTACATAATTATTGTTTGCTAATCAAATATCTTTTGTAATTTCATTATTTATATTATATTATAATTTTTTTACTGTAAATAAGTAATCAACACTATTATTATGGAATATGGAGTGATTATATTATTGTCAACTAAAAACTCAAGTTCAAAAACAGTAACAATAGGTGTATAATATTCTATACATATATACAATATACAATGGCAGTAGTATTGGTTGTATTGTAATAATATTATTACAATATAAAGAGTTAAGAGTTAAGAGATGCGGTGAGAGGAGAAAAAAAAACTAAAAAGAGAGAGACTTACACTACCATGACAGTCAGTTTGTGAGTTTTAAGTTGTATAAGTTGTATTGGTTGTACTGCGCGGCGTATATTGTGTGCGGGCTTGGTTTGTGCGCTGTGCGTGCTACTGACCTACAAACATACTTACCTATGTTATATTATATATATATATATATATACATACTGACTAATTTTAAACGTTTACGTCCTATCTTTACTCCTTTATAGCATTTTCACTACATGCTGGATGTAATACTTGTATACATATTTATTCTATTATTATATTATTCGTTTTTCCCGCGTAATCTTCCAAACGTAAATTTGATAAGCTGATGAGCTATAACTAATATCCGATATTTTTAATTTCATCTTCTCTACTAATTACATTAAATAGTTAGTTATCCTATTAGAAATTGTTGAAATTTTTTTAATTGGATTTATTTAATACTTAAAAATTTTGGTAATTATGATATTAATTAGATAAGAGATATAAAAATATAAAAAGGAATAATAATAAAAAAGTATGTAAGCATTAGCGGTGGGCATGTGTTGTCGAGTTGTTGGATGATGATGCGGGCTTAACGGATTTCTTGGTCAACAGTTAGACAGACGTATGAGAATTTGGAAGTTATATTAAGTGTGTAGTAGATTGGGAGTATTTATGTTATACTATTTATCCTTTTCTTATAATAATATATTATATTTTATTCATTTATTATTAATTATCAACAATTGATTTTAGTTTGGTTTATACTATTTATGATTTTATACCTTCTTAGGCGCACTCTCCATCTCAATTGACCCACTTGTTTAACAGGACAAAACCATTAATATATATATATATATATATATATATATACATATTATCAACGCACAAAAACACAATATTGTGTTAAAAAAAAATTTTTTTTTTCTTTTTTTATGTCACTTATTGTACACAATATCTTTAATATGCTGGAGAAAGAAATAAGAAATAATAATAATAATAATAATAATAATAATTATTATTATTATTATGGTGATAATGAGAGGAAGAGGAAAGAGTCTGATGTATACGAAATATGTAAAAGAGACTATTATTCGATTTACTTTTATTTTATCCTGTATATGTTTTATGGGTGAAAAAAAAAATAAATAAATGTCGGTGTATAGATCCCAGTAGTTGGCCACCGTCATTAATTTATTCAATATAAACTTATTCAGAGTCCCGGTTTCTTAAAAATAAATTTTTCAGTCCTCCTATCAATAATATATTTATAATAATTTATAAATGTAACGCTTAAAAGACGTAAACGACCCACTCTTGATTTCGAGCCGGATGGTAAATAGCGCAAAACGTGAAAATTCATCGGCATTTATTTTATTTAATTATTGACTTTTTAACGTCCTCATTTTATTTTTATTATTATTGTTATTAATCTTGTTTAATATTCAATTTATTATTACAGTAATTTTTTTTTTTACTAAAGTTATACTGGTATTTATATATTATATACAGCGTGAGTAAAACTCGTTGATCTCTCCTTATTTTCGCATGAATGGTCGCGTAGCTGAGAAAAATATATAATATATATGTGTGGATATATGGATATATCTATATAACTTGTGAAACGGAAGGCCTTGACAAGGTCGAGCAATGCCGCTGTACATCGAGCATCCAGTGTTATGTGTAGAGTGTCGTATATACGATATTATACACACTCGATTATTATATATTATCCATTACTTTTTACAATTTAATTATTACATTTAAAATCTAAAATCTTTAATAAAAATTTAATAACGACCTAGAGTTTAATATAATCTTATATTACAATATATATTTCATGAAGGGGCATGTGTCAAAAAGTGAGTAAAAGAATAATGTTTCGAGAAAAATAAAAAATAAATAAATAAATAAGGGATATATAATTTACAGCTTTTAAGGGACGTTAAATTTGGATTGGATCGACAAGGTGCAAAGGTATAACGTCTATATTGAATTGTTGAAAAACTTTAAAGAAAAATGGGTATATAGATGGTTTATAGAAGTGAGGAGAGAGGACCATAAACATAAAAACTATGGAAAAATGCCGATGAAAATGAGGTT